TGGTCGTAGTAGTAGTGATCGTCGTAGTCGTCGTCGTGGTCGTGGTCGTGGTCGTCGAGCCGCCAGTTTTTCCGCTGTCAGACTCGGATTTTTCGTCGGACGCGGTGCCGTTCATCACGTGTCGCTTGTGCAACGTGTAAGGTATCTCGACGTTGGTCCTCTGCATGGCCGCCGTGTCCGAGAACGGGTCCTCGTCGCCCGAGTCGGCCGGCGTCAAGTCGATCGACTTTTGATGCATCAGTATGTGACGTTTGCTGTTCGAGCCCAGCCTCTGTCGGGCAGGGTTCGGGTCGCTCTTGGTACGCTCGACGGGGGTGTGGCTCGGCATAGAGTCCTCGAAGCCCAACACGACCCCGCCCACGATCTTGGGATCGTACTCGGTGAACAGAGAGGTCTTCGACTTGAGATTCTCCATCTCGATCGGGACGCCGATCACGGTGTCGGTCCTCGACTCGATCGAGAGCCGTTGAGCTTGGCGCTCCCTCTCCCTCTTCTCCTCGTCCTTCCGCGCCCTCTCCAAACTCCTCCAATCGTCCCTCTCGCGAGGCTTCTCCATCGACTTCACCGCCGCTTTCCTCCACGACTCCTTGCACTCGATCCTCTCCACGCTGCTTCTCCTCCAATCGTGCGGCTCGTGGTCCAAGCTCCTTCTCGAATCCGAGTGCTTTCGTTCCCCGTGCCTTCGCTCCCCCTTCCTCTCGTGTACACCACCTTTGTCCTTCGAGACGACGTTGTTGTTGTTATTGTTGTTGGTGGTGTTGATATTGTTATTGTTGTTGTTGTTGTTGTTGTATCTTTCTAACGACTTCAAACGTTCGATCGTGACGGGATCGAAATCGAAGGTCGGCCTCTCCCTCGAGTCCAACCTTTCCACGCTCTTCCCCCTATACTCCCTTCCGAAACGTTCGAGCGGACTTTTATTGCCGCCGAACGAATCGAATCTCTCCAACGTGTGCCTCTGGCCGTGATCGAACGCGGCGTTGCCGCTTCGCCGAGGGCTCCTCCTCCTCTCCTTCGAATCCAATCGTTCCACGCTTCTCTCTCGACGCTCCGACGTCGCGTGCCTGTGACTCTCTCTCGACCTGTCCTTGGAAATTTTGTTCAGATACTCGGTGCTGCTACGCAAACCCTGAATGTCCAAACGTTCCACGCTTCTCCCACGCGACTCGTAAGAATCGGCATGGCGGAGCAACGATCTTTCTATCCTCGAATCGAGACGCTCGTAACTTCTCTCCCGCGCGTCCAACCTCTCGATGCTTCTGCGCAACTCCCTCCCCTCCCGGCGGGGATGCGGGGACGAGGATTCGAATTTCCTCCTCGGCTCCCCCCCTCTCTCAACCGACTTTCTACGATCGTGCTCCCTCGACGAATCGACGCGCGCCTTCGAACGATTCTCTTTGTCCTGCAACGTTGTCGCTTTCCGTTCCTTGTTGCCGTTACGAACGCCACGGCCTAAACTACCCGTTTCCACGTACACGCGCGACACCAATACGTGATCCTCCAAACTGGCCACACTGCGCGCTCGAACCGTTCTACCTCTTTGTTGTTGATCGAGTATCGTCCTATTCGTCGAATCCACGGGGCTGAGATCGTCGTCTATGCGAGATTTCGGCCGCATTATACCCTCGTCCCGTAAAATCTCCGAGTCTACGTGGGTGATCTTGTATTTCGGCTTCAAGCTTTTCAACTCGTTCAACACGGACATTTTTTGCTTTTGCACCTGCAACACGACCGGATCCTTCCTACCCGAATCCTGATGCGGAAGAGCGAGTTTATTCTGTTGTTGTTGTTGTTGTTGTTGTTGATGTTGCTGTTGGAATTGTTCTATCGAGTTGGCGTGTCGAGTCTCGAATTTTCTCTCGATCTGAGTGCTCGACCGTTGTATGCGCGACTCGATGGTTACGTAATCGGTGTCCGATTTCGTGTACCGATCGGTCGATCTCGTCCTAGCGTCTTTCTTAAGGTCGGCGAGCACCGATTTGAATTGCTGCCTCTCCGTCGATCTGATCGAACGGTGTTTGACGAAGGAATCGGTCTCCGAATCCATTTGGAACATCTCGTGCTCGAT